CCCTTCTTGTCTCCCTTCTTGTTGGTCATTGTGTCCGCCTTGTCTTCCTTCTTGTCTCCCTTTGTCTCCGGTCTTGTCCTTCTTGTTGGCCACTGTCTCCGTTCTTTTCTCCCTTCTTGTTGATGTCTCAAAAAGTGGACTTGGGAATGCTTCGTTGTTGTCCCACCTGTTTGGGGTCTAGGGTGGTGTAATTCGTATAGCCTAGAAACTTACACCCCTGAACATCAACCACAACCCCTGGCCCCGCTTCAAACCAGTCCCGACCGATCAGGAGGGCAGTGTGCTCTTGGATCCCATGGGCGGTGTCGGAACCATTGCCATCGAGGCGGGAGCGTAGCGTAGCGGAGAGAGTTGCGGATCGCTTTCGAAGTCGAAAATGGGTTGTTCAACCTGGACCGCCTCGTTTTGTTTATGGTGATTTCTAAAGTTAAATAACCTTCTGGGGAAGATGTTTAAGCAAATTCCAAGACGATGTGCGGTGCCCGACCATGTCCACCCCAGCATGTCCATGGTGTGGATGCGAGCTTGAGCTGAGCTGCTCGCAAGACGACCGGCACCTCGAAGGGCGGGACCTCGTGCCATGACTCTGCCATGACTCATCCGAAGAGGCCATGGAAGTGATCGGGCGAACGCAGTATGATGGGTGATTTTTGAGCCAGGTAGCCGTGGCTTTCCGGTTAGGTTCCCGGTCTTTCGGATGATCTCTTAGCAATCGGAACGGATTTCTTCTGTGCCTCGACTTGGGCAAGCAGCCCTTCACGGCTCGAGCGCTCAGCGCGAAACGAACACTGGTGATCAAGGGACTGAAGGCATGGCGCAGATGGGGTCAAACAATCTGGACATGATACCAGGACCCTCCAAGGGGTGCCCAATGGAAGCCTATAGGTAGTGTGGGGTAGTCCATTGGACACCCCTTGGAGGGTCCGGGTATATGTATGTAATTGTATGTATATACCGAACACCCCAAGCAATTCATTTGTGTTTTGTATGTTCCATGTATTGTTGGGGTATGATCTTCAGAAGATGTTGTGTGTTCTATTTCCCCCAATTTTTCCTCTACATCCCTGGACCATCCAAATCAAATAGGCCATTCAATAGGCCAGTATCTAAACTTCCAGTTCCCATTCGTCCGATGGCACCTCCGGCACGCCATCCTCGCATGGGCACCAAGTCCACGAGCCCCCCCTCCGCGCTGGTGAGGGCAGAATCTCCGATCACTCCAAAGCACCGATGGGAGGGAACGAATTCAGGTCCCAAAGAAGAAGGACTTCAGAGTTGAGCCCAGAGAGGCCACAGAGTCTTAGTAGATCTACCGGCCGAGTCTGAGCGATGGGCTTCAGCCTACTGGCGATGGCCCCCGAATATCAAAGAACTGTTGTCGAAAACACCCAAAGACACCCAGATCCGCAGCTCAACGAAAAAATTGCGCAACAAGAAAAGCACCTTCACTGTCTCCTCTGTGACGGCCGATTTGTGTCCATTTGTTTGATGGTTGGGCGCTTGGTGGATGCCCGACTTCGCAGATGGAGCCTCCTAGGCGAGCAGAGGGAGGAGATGGGAGGAGGTTACAACCCTAGGGCTCCAACCACCTCCTGAGAAGATGGTTGGGGTGGGATTGGGGGTCTAACCACCTTCTGAGGAGATGGTTGGAACCCTAGGGCAAGTGGGAGGATTCTGTTGGAACCAACTTGTAGCCCTGGTGTGGAGGTTACAGGCCCATGGGGAGAATCCAGCGACCCTTCTACAGGCCCTTCAAGTATCAAGTGCGGTCACGAACTGGAGGTTCTCCAGGCCCAAGCCTTTGAAAAAGAGTTGAAGCATTTCCAATTCCTGGTCTGGTCTCGGACGAAAGCGTTCCTCGTTGTGCCTCCTGGCTGCTCGCCCAAAGCACCGGGATCTGGCCGACCCTGGGCGAAAGGGGACCCTCAACTCCCTCGCCCCCACGCTTTGATGTGACTTCGGTGCAGGGAGGAACCCTCCCCTTCTCGCTCGGTTCCAAAAGTGTTTTTTTAGCAACCCATTTTTTGCCAACGCTTCTTCTTTTGTTGGGTCGGGGGTAAGTGCGAACTTCTGTTGCTTTCGTTGGAATTGTGCACAAGATGACCTAACATGACCTAATCAGTTACTTGATTCACATCATCAAAAGTCCACACACCCACACACACCCACACACGCACACCTCCACACACCCTACATCCCCACACACCCGTTCCTACACCGGCACACGCACTCACGCACTCACGCCGCGCAGGCGCCCCAACGTTCCGACTGGGGCGTGCTGGTCCCGAAATCGCACAGACAGACCCGCTCGGTGTTCCGCGCACGGTCCTCCAGGCGTGCTGGTCCTTTGGTCTCGCTCCGCCGGTGTGCTGGATGCCGCGACCACGACCGGTGCCACGACCGGCCCGGTGGACACGGACTGGACGTTGGAAGAGACGGACGAGGAGGGCGTGCCGCTGTCGATGGTCGCAGACGTGAGTCAGGTGGCGGAGCAGCTAGGCCGGGAGTTGGCAGAGACGGGGGTGGAGTTCCATGTAGCGAACTGTGGCGAAGAGGTTTCTGGCTTGGTTTTTTTTTGGGAGGAAGAGATGTCTCAAGGTTGGGATTGTTTCAATTTCAATGTCCACAATTAGGGTAATAGTGGGAGACTTAAACCATACCTCCTGCCATTCAGGAGTCCCACGTCAGCAAGGCATTGGGTGGTTGGTCCTTTTCATCGATATACAGTACATCATATGTTTCTTTTGGAATTTGGCCAGCAATGTAACATTACGCTGACTGAAGGCCGGTGGTCTTGTGTCTGACTTTCTTCTTCTCACGCAAGACGAGACATTCATCAATTCAAGTCGGCCAAGTCTCAACTCACCATGGATATTCAAGACGCTTCGCGTCGACAGCCGCCCACACCGCGCACGAACATCCGAAGTTAGGCGCCAGGTTGGCTGTCTTGCGGCTGCATTGGAGTCATCTTGGGGCCAACTTCGTCTACCTTGGGGCCCATAATGGTGATACAACTTCGGCATTGCCAAAAGCCATCCAAAAATACACCTCCAAAGCGCTCTCCCCAGTGGCCCTGCAGCCGAGCAAGAATCAACGCAGCAACCACCCCAAAGCACAAAAACTCCTTCAAAGCGCTCTCCCTAGTGGCCCTGCAGCCCAACCAGAGCTGCGCACGCGCGAAAAAACAGGCCCCCCCTAGCAGAGCTATTTGCATAGGATGTTTTTGCTAAAATGCAGAGCTCAAGAGCCCCAAAGCACGCCCTGCACCGACAAGCGGTGTGGGCGGATTTCTTTTCCCCCGTCTTACATCCCCCGCCCCACCGAGAACGATCTTCCACAGACTTCCCGAGGTCCGTCGACCCGACGATCCGGGTCAGGCCTCAACGGAGAGGTGGAGCCTTTGGCCGACCGACTGACCTTGCTGCGCTTCTATTTGCATCGAGACCGTCAGGCACCGTCGGGTGAGCAGCCGCGTCGAGCGTCGGTTGTTGGGTGCCCCTTGTTCCTTTCAAGGCTACAGTAGAGGGGAAAGTAGATGGGTTCTGTAAAAGGTGCATATGCCACGAGAAAAGAAACATGTCTAGCTGGTTTAGCATCATTCTCCAGATTTTTTTTGCCACTCAAATCAACAGCGGGAAGTCAAGAAAGTGCCTCAAGAATAGTCTAATACTCTACACGGTATCAATATCGACCCTGTTTGTCCTCTATTTGGGAGTATCAGATGCAAACGTTCATGGCCTGTGAAAAGGGGTGGGTGGGTGGGTGGGTGGGATAGCTTGGGGGCTACTAAGGCCTAGGAATTCAAATAGCTATTGCTGCATAGTATACCCTCCAAGTATTCAACACTCTTGGAAGTTGACGATTGCCACATGGAAGGCGCCCTTGCTCCAAAAAGGGGGTGTTGGACCAAATTCTTCATTTCCACACTTGTGAGAGATCGAGGGCAAATCATGCTTGCTGATTGAAGAACCATTCCTTTCACTCCCACTTCCCCGCAAGAAACATCAAACAACCTTGGTCTTTCACCTCTCAGTGCTCCAACCGATGGCCTTTCACCCAATGCTCCACCTCCTTCCTTTCACCCCGCGGCGACTCAGGTGGCGTCGGCGGTGCAGATGTACAGGGAGACCATTGCTTGGCGTCAGGCCTTCAACCTCAAGCAGGTCATGGCGGACTATGGCCATGGCGAGGCTGTGGGTGCCGTGCGGCCCCTCTTCAGAGGGGCAGGGGGGTCGGTCCGCAGGTGAATTCTCTCTGGGTTGAGAAGTGGGTCTCTCGGTGAGTGAAAGCTTGAGGGAAAGATGGAGGAGCAAACGGCAGTCAACGCTCGTTCGCTGCTTGGTGATAACAGTGAGATGCCCCCTAACCAGAATGGATCTATGCCCCCTCTGGGGTAGAGTGAGGGTCTTGACTTGAACATGTCGTTTGTGTCGAAGCACTGGACTCAGTACAGCAACACACACCAACCTTGACTCCGCCTCCTTTGATTGCTATGAACACAGTGAAGCACTCTACCACCCATAAGCGGTGCTTCATCGACACGGGCTTCCAGGGGTCCCTGGTACACTCATTGGTTGATGAACAGAGGTATACCGGTGTATTCGGTGTATCCCATTACCTGTGACAGTCGTTGAAAGATTATTCTTGGGAAAGGCCTTGACTGGCCACTATGACTGGTAATGGGATATACTCCAAATCAAGGGAATACCTCCAAGTCTACAACCAAGTTCAGTCTATGGTACCTGCCACTGACTCCTCTATCATTTCCAAAGCTTGGACATCATTGGGACGAGCGTACCTGGGTCCCCTGGGTCCCCAAGGACGGGGAAGAAACAATGCACATGGGGTTGGGTTCATCAACGGTCTACATGAGAGTGCTAGAGGGTGTCCATGAAATGAGGTGGAACAGATGTACTCTGATCTATACACCAGGGGCTTCTATTGATCGCCCCTTAAGAGGTTATATAAGGGGTGTCCATGAACTACCCCTGACCGTGGGTCCTGGTAAACTCTTATTTTGCCGCCCGGATGGGGTCCCAGACCATTGGATGGATTCCCTGCCAGGACTATGGAGAGGATGGCATGCGGCTCTCGACGGGCCCTTGGCGATGGACCTCGGGGCACCCAATCCATTTCTGGCCCCAAACGTTTCATGCATCTTGCCAAACAATCAGCCCCAGACAGTCCATGGAACTGGAAGATATGCCGCCCCATTGACCCCGACTTCCACCACCCCAGTGTAGGCATATATGCCAGTCCCATTAGTCGTGTCTGGGAGCAATTCATCCAAGCAGACTTCTCTGCAGAATCAAATTTCTCCAGTAA